TAATATAAATACTTTTAAAAAATAATCATTTGATACCAAGACCATCTCATAATCCTTTCAATTTTGTGATACATGTGTTTGGTAGAATTTTTAATAGCTCGTAGGAGTTTGACATTCTAGTTTTTAATGAAAACTCACTGAAAAAAATAAATCATTTGAAAATATGGTTTTAAATATTTCATTATAGAAAAAAGACTTATAATCTAAATCTAAAAACTATTTCAGATAGAAAAAGATTTTGTTTATTATAACAAATATATTAAATTAATATATGACATTTAAAACACTTGTTCTGATTTTGAGCTTTTATTCAAAAATTTACATAATTTACATCTTTTAAAAACTGATATATAAACATGTATCAGTACAAAACATGTCATGACTTATAGGTGCCAAATCGAATCTCGTGAATAATCATTTTTAATCAAAATTGACGTTAGTAAAAAAAGAAAAGACTTGAAACAATCAAACAAAGAGCATATGTACATGCTTTTCACCGTCAGGCGCCAGCATCATAACCGCGGCTTCCCACTTTGCAGATGCATCCTCTGTGGATCGAACATCTACCAGGCCGACATAATAAGATACTATCCTCTTTTTTTTTTTTTTTTTTTTTTTTTTTAAATATAAAACCCTAGGTTAATAAATATGCTTATTTTTAATTAAACAATATTAACATGACAATAGTCAATTACACAAACATGTTATATGCATAGTATTTTGAGTAAACGTCAAGTTTAACTCATCTATATATGTTATCAATGAAGATTAGGAAGGTGAAAGAGAGAAATGAAAGAGATAAAATGAAGGAAAGAATCTAAGTTGTTATTCAATCGACTGTACACCATTACATTTATACATAGATAGAAAGCAAAACAAATACTAACGATCTTAACCGAATTCACTATGTAAATTACCAAAATACCCTCTAACTGAAATAACTAACTAATTGCTAACACCCCCCTCAAGCTGGTGGGTAGGAAGACAAACCCAGCTTGGATACAGCTTCTCTATGTAATGAATTTTGAAGAGACTTTGTAAAGACATCAGCAAGTTGATGAGTAGTGGACACATGAGATAAAGAAATTAAACCACTTTGAAGCTTCTCTCTAACAAAATGACAATCTAACTCGATATATTTTGTTCTCTCGTGATAAACTGGATTATTGGTGATATATATTGATGCAAGATTATCACATTTAAAAGGAATTGGTGTGATGTTGGGTACTTGAAAATCATGCAATAGTCTTGAAAGCCATGCAAGCTCAACACAAACCCGCGTCATAGACCGATACTTCTCTTCCGCTGAAGAAAGAGACACAATAACTTGCTTCTTCGATTTCCAAGAGATCGGACTTCCTCCAAACATTATAAAGAATCCACTAACAGATCGTCGTGTGATTGGACAAGACGCCCAGTCAGAATCACAATATGTAACATCCTGTTTCGAGAAGTTTCTCATTTCAGGAATTATGGGCATTAAATGGATCAAGTTAGGGTCTCGGACTTCAAAGGTCTTGGGTTTTAGACCCAATTGGTTGTAGATTATATAGGTTATGTGATCCAAGCTCTCGGTTTGTGTTTTGGAGTCAAAGGGTATAATGGTAAAAGTGATGCTTTGTACTTCTTCATGAATTAAGGATTCTAGTTCGGTAAGTTTTAAGTTAAAGGAGATTAGATAGGATTGTAGGGCTTTTCATTACTTTTCCGATCATATTAAGAACGCCGAAAACAAAGTTGGGACGCATAAGTTATGACCACTGGAAGTTAGGAGGGAAATGGTTTTCGGCCCGTACGTTGGGCGTACATGGCATGTATGCTAGGCGTATTGCATGAAAGTGGCACGGTTATCCTTTGAGTACGTCAGGCGTACATAAGGGTACGTAGGGCGTACTCACGTGAATATTAAACCCAATTTCCAGGTTTGGACCCTATAAAACTTTATTATCTCCCTTGAGGCTGACCTTATTTCCAGCCTCCATCCTATCCAACCTTAATTTCGAAACCCTAATCTTTGAGAGCTTGTTTTTGGACCTTCATCCTTGTGGATTGTTGTGGCTAGAGATTGCAGATCTAGGACTTTTATCATCTTTGCAAACTTTTGGAGGTATAAAGTTTCAAACTTTATGGCTCTTTAGTGTGGATCTAGTTTTGGTTTATGTTTTGAGCATGTTTTGGTCTCATGGCTTGGATCTTGTGAGTAGTAGTTACTCCAGAAGCTTTGAGCCTCATTTCTAGTCATTTTGAGGTCATTACGTCATAAAAATCGAATCTTGATGGGTATATCTCTTCCATGCATGAGTTAGTGGTCCTTTGGTGAAGATATGAATATAGGGATTTGGTTTGGACTCCATTAAGCCATGCAAATACATAAAGTAAGGAACTATATGACTTAAGGTGTCCCTTAGAGTCAGATCTAGGAGTTGGACATTAGGTCTTAAGGTATTAAGAGCTTAAAGTTGATTTTGGGCATCAGTGGTGTACGCCGGGTGTACCCTCTTGGTACGTTGCGTGTAACGGGTTTCAACCCGTTTCCTTTTCTGCGATCAAGCAGTACGTTGGGCGTAATAGGGTGGTACGCATGGCGTACTCACCAAAAGTCTTTATGGGCCACTTTTGGGCCTCGGGTCTTTAGGGGTTTTGGTCCATGATTAGTTGGGCAAGCATGGGAAGGGTAAAATGGTCTTTTACCCTTAGTAAGATGGATTATGATTTAGACCATTAATTATGGGTTATTACCCTGAGTTTTATTAGGGTTGGTTTGGATATTCAGTGTGAGGAGCCGATGTAGCATCATCGCGTGCGTGAGTCGGTTATCTCCAGGTTGAGGTGAGTATTCTCACTGTACTTGTGGGTCAAAGGCACCAATGACAACTCACCAAATTGTTTATGTAGGATGCTAGATGTCTTTGTGACTCTTGCATGTTTGTACAATTGGGTTGAAATAACCCCAGGGCTGGTCCCATCATTGTATGGCTGGGTTGAAATAAACCCAGGGCTGGACCCATGAGTATGTGATGGGTTGAAAGAGACCCCAGGGGTAGGCTCATAAGTGTATATTGGGTTGGAATATACCCCAGGGCTAGGCCCAATTGTATGTTTAGTATGTGCTATTTTGGGGAACTCACTAAGCTTTGTGCTTACGGTTATGTGTTTATGGTTTCAGGTACTTCCGGTTGCAAAGGGAAGGGTCCGACGTGACTGCACAAAAACCCCAACGTTTTCTGCATTGACTATTTATACTTTTTTTTTTGGAGATTTAATATTAAAAATTATGATTTAAATATTTGTTTACATATCATATGTATGGAGTACATATTATAAATTTCGCATATATGATCAAATTATTTACCTTTCTTTCTGGATGATGTTTCAGTACATCTCTTTTGACAACATCGTAATTAAACTTAAACGTCGATTCAAATTTTTTGAAGGTTATCTTTTACTTCCGATCATCAATAATACTTTGGTGTAAATATTACAAATATTTGGCAACAATCTTATGTTATTGTGTGTAATACATTTTAAAATAATATTATTTTAATAAATAATTTACACAAAAATTAGACATAAAGTTACGTTTAATATATCCTTAGAGCATCTCGAATGATTAACCTCTCAAAACTTGTTTAACATCCATTAGAATTCCAATCAACTTCAAGCATGATCTAATCTTTTTATTGATGATTCAAAACCATAACATAACATATGAAGCTAATTGATGATTTAAACTTGATTAATGTTAATAACGGAAGTTCCAATGGATTAGAAACCAATGTAAAACATAATGCAAGCTAAAACTCCTTTAAAGCTTCAATACAAGCTCAAAATTCAATATCATCAAGGAATGGAGTTTGAAGCTTCATAACTTTTTAACTAGGAGGAAAAGTTCAAACATGTTGGCTATGAAATATTGATTATTAACATTTTGGGTTCGGTTAACATTTTGGTTGATTTTTTATGGTGCATATTTGATAGCCATATAAAATGAGCATGTTAATGTCTTAACGGTGGAAAAAAGAAGAGGATAGATTTGGTAGGAGAGATGGGGTTGTATTCTTTGGGTGGGATAGACCCCCTTTTATTTCTAAAAAATTAAAAGATTAAAAGAAAAAGAAAAAAAAATCCTAAAACTAAAATAAATCAGTATAATAATTATTTCAAATTTTGACATAGACAATTTTTTTTGACTTTTAATATAAGTTGGAAAATTATAGACTTTTTAAAAACCATCAAAACTCATATTTTATTTGGTAGAGATTTTGTCTTTTAAAACGAAGGTCCAGTTTTCTAATCTGGATGTTGATGATTTCTACTAATTGGTGATATTAACTATTTAATTTCTAACCATAACCGATCATTCAAAAAAAAACATAGACAAAATTTGCACTTTAGTTTTAGTTATATCATAAAAGTTGGATTCATGAGTTTTCATTAAAAAGAAAACGAATTTGATTCTAATTTTAATAGACGTTTCTTTACATTTTTTTCTATTAAGAAAAAGAAAAAAACACTATTGATCAGTGATCACTTATGATTTAAAACAAATATTATCTTTCATAAATTCTGTTGCCAACCCATTTGAGGTATGCATACTCTTCTATTGTAAGACCCATTATAAATTCACACAAAAACATGACTTTTAGTCAATCTACCTCCTCAACCCATCCGCTACTTACCCGATTCAATTAATTCCTATTTTTGTTTTTAAAACAAGTGGAAGGTTAGTTTTTAATTGGTAAAGCTATTACAGGTTTATGTGGTTTGAGACAATCAATGCACATGTACAAATGGTCTTTATTAAGAAGCTTTTTTTTATAGTCTCCAAGTATTTTCCTAGCATGTGAACTTTGGCTAAAAGAGTCATCTTTCTTGGCTCTTCTGCATATTATTGGCTTAAAGATTCTCATAAGTTTGGTTTTAAGTAGTGGGTCTTCCTCAAACTTGAGAAAAACTCAAATCTTTTTGTAGTTTTGATGTGAATTTTTTAGAGGGTAAAAATGTCATCATTGAGTGGTCTAGAGATTGGTTTGTGTTTCCTCTTTGGATGTATCCTGATGCTTCTTTCTGCAGAGCTGTATTATCTTCTATGTTGGAAGAAGAGGGTCTCCCAAGACAGAGAAGACATTGAAAACCAACATTTATCCTCTTCCCATTATACCCCTCCTAATATCTCTTCCTACACTTCTTGTTGGAAAACCTCAAAATCCCCCAAAACCCAAGAAAAAGATTTGCAAACATATGCCAAACAACAAGATTCCGACATGGGTTTGGGTAAAGATTCGGTGTTAAAGGGATTGGGAGATGAAAGTTTGGATCTTGAACTCATGAGACTACATAACCTAGGTGGGCCACCTAGGTTTATTTTCACAATCAATGAAGAAACCAAAGAAGACTTGGAATCCGAGAGGAGCAAAATGGGGTTAAGAACGAGAAGCTTGGGTGACATTCTTGATACTTTAGACACACTATTTTTGTCTCCTGTTGCTTCACCACCATTGAAGCTCCCACAACAACTCAGTTTGGAAGCTTATAATCACCATGGATTAAACCCTCTGTTTGAATCCAATGAAGTTGCTATGAACAAGGTGAAATCTTCACCGCCACCCACATTCAAGTTCTTGAGAGATGCAGAGGAGAAGCTCTTGAAAAGATTGATGCAAATGGAGGGTGACAAAAGAGCAAGTTTTAAGAAATTGGATCAAGATTCTTCAAGAAAAACAGAGGAGAAAGATGGTTCTTTTGTAAAATTGGTTGTTAGTAAGGGCAATAGTGAAGGAGGGCATCGTCAAGTTTCAACACATTCAAAGGTTCTTCCATTGGCTTGATCTACATCAACAACTTTTACCAATTCCTGGACTGGGTATTGTTTTTTTTCTTTATTATCCAATGTTTTACTTATTCTCTTTTTTTTTTCAACTTCACAAAGATTATATATATAGACTTTGTGTTATTCTCCATTATATTATAGAGATAACATGTGCAATGATATAGACGATACTCTTCAACAAATATATAATGACAATCGACATTAGAATGCTTGAGATTTTAATTTAATTTCGGGTAAATTAAATAACAATATTCCAATGCACAAGTTTATTGTATGTGTAGTTTTGTTGTCAAATAGTTATCATACTTAGTAAAGAGTTAAAAAACTAAAAAAGACCAAAGATTTTAAACATATTTTCATGCTTAGATTGTAAGGAAGTTAAATGGACAATTGTTAGCTGGATTGGGTCTGATTTTAAGGGTGCGATAACTAAAAAAATGTTCCCTACATATAGTGTTTTTAGTTATAACCAAAATATTAAAACAGCTATAATTGTTATAACAATAATCGAAACAAAAGAACGGTAATTCAATAGATAATCTTATGTAGCCACATAAATCACGAAACTCTTCTAGTATTTTTTTAAAAGCAAATTTATTCAATCAACTTTTCATAATCAATAGTCTTTGATATATCATTCTCGATAGTTATTATCGTCAATTCATTATGTATTTCTTGTGATATTGTGAAACATAAATAGGGCTTCAAAAACTTGAGTTTTGAGAAACTTCCTTCTAGGCGTCATTAGTCAACAAGATTCTATAGACAATAATTACATTAGAAAAAAACAACCGATTTTTTTTTCATATATTCCAAAACATCAATAGGTTGGTAGTTTCACTCGGTAAGAAAATGACAATCAACTTTAACTTCATATAAATTTCATGAGCATCGATATCTAATGCTTTGAAACGGCTATAACATAACTTAAGATTTTTGTCATCGGACTCCTTTAATTTTTATTATTGAAAAAAAAAACCTAAAAAAAAAATTATAATCTTGTTTTAAGAACATTAATGTTACTTTGTTAGAGAGATTGTGGTAGCATTTTTTTTTTATATTTTAACAAGTAAAGGATTCATTTCACTCTAGGTAAATTGTCGCATCGTAGATGGTAAGCATATCCACTCGTGACTCAACCTCTATTTTATTTAGTTGGCAAATTCCATTTATTTATATTCTTTTGCCACAATATCCACACGAATATTACATTAATTTGTAATTTGAGACAATATTTTTAAATTTTATTTGTGTAGCGTACTCCAATATTTTATGTTGCGGGATAGTATATTTTACATGTTATAAAAGAAAATCCGTAATAGTATTTAATATAAAGACAAATAAAAATAGCTGATAATATTTCCCATTTTTCATTTTTCATGTGATTGATGGTTATTACTCAAATAACATGGTTTTATATAACATATTTATTTTTAAATGAATGAAAATAAAAAACTCTGTTTCCGCTTACGAAATTAGAGCTCACAGTTTGAACATTTCCCCCTTATCTTTTCGGTTTTAATCTATTTTAACTGTATCAATCTACATTTATCTTTATCTATTAAATAAAGTTATGGTAAATATCTTTTTTTTTAAATGCTAATGAGATAGAAAATGACATAAACATCAATCTGTACATGTATTTTGGTTTGCGATTGGAGTAAAGTGCATTATGATTCATCATATAAAGTTTCAAACTTTCCATTATTTAGGTGCTGTTTGTTTTTTTTAATGCAAAATGTCTGCAGTCTGCGGACCAATCTGTAGACCTCTGCAGTAGAAGAGGTGGACCAAACGTCTGCAGTCTGAAAAAGAAGACTGTTTGTTTTTTAACATCTGCGAGCTACTAAAATAAACTGAAATCTAAATGAACTGATTTTTTTAAACTTCAAAGCGATTTTTTAATATTTTTATGACTTTGTTATAAATAATTAATAAATATAGATCAACTTTTATCTATTATTGTATAAAAAATAAAAATAAAAATGGTATGAATTAACGTATATATTTG